TAGGTATTAAAAGCAATTCTACTTTTATTAGGGTCACGATCCATACCTTGTTCTAAAAAGAACAGATTTCACTCAATTAAATTGAAGACGCAAAAGGGTTTAAACAAAATTTACAACAATGACACGAAACTGTCGAATTATCAATAACCTAACCTTCAAATTCAAAATCAAAATTCAAAATTGCCTGTGTGTGAACCTTCCTCGCATTCAACCAATCACGTGCAAGGTCAATCTGGTGACAAATTTAAAATACTCCTCCTGGTTTAAAAACAGAGTATAGTAGTTTAGATGGGTAGGTTGAAAGTACAAATAGGGTCAAAACGTGCCCTATTATGAGTTAAATATATTCCCCAAATTTCATTTTCCTAGCGTTTATGGTTTTTGAGAATTAAAAAGAAAATTAAACCAATATTTTCCGCCATTTTTGGAGGGGTGTAGCTCCTTAGGGGAGCCGAATTCACCCATGGTTCATATATCAAAGTACCCTTAAAATCCACTAAAGAGTCACCCCTTGAAGTTTGGTGCAGTAATTCAGATACATCCTATATACAGGGTGATTCACATAAGAACCGACATAGAACAGGGACATGTAGAGGATAATAAATTAAGACGATTTAACACAACTTATCTCTATACTAAGTTGTACTCCTGAGGAGTTATAGGCCTTCAAANGTGGTTACGTTTAGTAGTTTAGAAGGGTAGGTTGAAAGTACAAATAGGGTCAAAACGTGCCCTATTATGAGTTAAACATATTCCCCAAATTTCATTTTCCTAGCGTTTATAGTTTTTGAGATTTAAAAAGAAAATTAAACCAATATTTTCCGCCATTTTTGGAGGGGTGTAGCTCCTTAGGGGAGCCGAATTCGCCCATGGTTCATACATCAAAGTACCCTTAAAATCCACTAAAGAGTCACCCCTTGAAGTTTGGTGCAGTAATTCAGATACATCCTATATACAGGTGATTCACATAAGAACCGACATAGAACAGGGACATGTAGAAGATAATAAATTAAGACGATTTAACACAACTTATCTCTATACTAAGTTGTACTCCTGAGGAGTTACAGGCCTTCAAAGTTGGGTCTTAAATTTTTAAAACATTGAATATCTTCGTAATACATTAAGTTAGAAAAACCAAATTTGGTATACGTTATGAGTGTACCGAGGGTATTAATTGGTAGCAAGTTGAGACCAATTGAGGCATTTGAAAGGGTTGATTACGGGTGATGGTCCCCTAAATTTTGACAGATTTTTTTAACCTTTTGGTGGATTTAACACATTATTACCTGATTTCATGTGGAATTTAATTCTAAAACTTTTTCTACTCTTATTATTTTTTAAAAAACATTGTCGTTTTCATAAAAAACTCAAATAACTAAAGACACGAATTTCGTTAATGCTACTTAAAATCATCGAAAATTCAGTAGTCGGCTGTGAAATTGTACGTCAAACTTGACAAATAGGTTATAAAACCTTGTCGTCAAATAACTTTATAACCTATTTGTCAAGTTTGACGTACAATTTCATAGCCGACTACTGAATTTTCGCTTATTTTAAGTAACATTACGAAATACGTGTCTTTAGTTATTTAAGTTTTTTATGAAAACGACAAAGTTTTTTAAAAAATAATAAGAGTAAGAAAAGTTTTAGAATTAAATTCCACATGAAATGAAGTAGTAATGTATTAAATCCGCCAAAAGATTAAAAAAATCTGTCAAAATTTAGGGTACCATCACCTTTAATCAACCCTTTGAAATGCTTCAATTGAGTTCAATTTGCTACCAATTAATACCCTTGGTACACTCATAACGTATACCAAATTTGGTTTTTCTAGCTTAATGTATTACGAAGATATTGAACTTTTTAAAAATTTAAGAGCCAACTTTGAAGGCCTATAACTCCTCAGGTGTACAACTTAGTATAGAGGTAAGTTACGTTAAATCATCTTAATTTATTGTCCTCTACATGTCCCTGCTCTGTGTCGGTTCTTATGTGAATCACCCTGTATAGTTTATTGTATTGTACTTGCTTGATCCCAATAAATAAATAAATGTTATAAAAATTACCCATTGCCTCATAACTAGTTTCATCACAGATTTTTACATCGTGTTCACTTTTCATATCATTTCCACCCAATGTACACGCCAATAAAACGAGTCTTATTACCATCGGAATTTGTTGTTCAGTCATACTAAATTCCATGCTAAAAATAATTAGAATATAAAAATTGTTAGAAACTATTTCTTAAACTTACTTGTTACAATAAATATCAAATCTTGTAGTGGATGCTTTCGAAATGTTTGAAGATTGATAAGTTCGTAGAAAATGCATGGTTAGAGAGCATCGGTATAACATTGGTTCTTGATAAACGTCAATTTTTCCTGATGCATTCCTTTTATCCAAACATATAGTGAGATCGTTTACAGTGATTAATTTTCGCATTGTTACCTGCGCTGGGGAAGAATCTATAATGTAATGGGTTGGATATTTCTTATAATATGACCAAAAAAGGTATTCTAAGACAACATTTTTGTAATCAAGATTTATATAATAACAATAATAAAATTTTATCGCTAAGTATTAAAAATTTTTTTTTATTCATTTTTATCACTTACCTGAATACGTTGGTTCCCATTTCTCGTCACAAGACTCATACGTTAACAACTTAATATTCATAGAGAGCACAATATCCTCTTCCACATACTTCAAAATAAGATTGTTACAATAAATCCTAATGTTACTTACTATTTTATTGATTAATGCATGAACGTAACTTGGTGGAGCTTCCACTTCATGTCTATAAAGAATTATATAAATAAAAGTAAATCATTTTCAAACAACTAACTTTTTTCCTTGAATTTTTTTTGGTTTTTCTTTCGGTGGTTCAGATGGTTTATCATTTTCTGTACTTCTCAATTTTAAAATACATTCTATAGTATTTATGGTAATGGAAATAGGTTCTGAAGTTAATTTGGTCCATGGCACATGTATGGAAAGTTCATGGATGTGTCCCGATACAAAACTAAAAGGTAATTGTAATTCTTGCTCAAGCACCTCGAGTCGTAAGTCTAAATTATGAAACGATGCATCTCCACCCCACAATGATACCTTAAAAAAATATGAAAGAATAATAAACTAAGTTAGATGATAATTTTATTAATTACCTGAGAATCTTCCAATCGGAAATTTTTAATATACTTATCAACATAGCTCAAAATTAAAGGCGTTATATATGATTCTAATTTAAACATTTAATATGATTTTAAGAAATAATTTTTTGGTTATTATTTAAGTATCATTTTAACTTAAACGAAACGTTTGGTTATGATTTGATTTTGTGCTGTTTTTTTAAAAATAATCTTCAAGGAATATTAAAACAACTTTAAACCCCCAGTTTGTGCGGTGGTTTTAAATAAAAACGTCATTCAACGCTACGTGTAGTTTAACTGATTTTGACACAATTTTGACATATTTACAATTTAGGTTAATTAAAGTTCGGGTAGGGGGCGCAATTTAATATTTATTTTAACTATCAAAAATGCATTTTAGACTATGTTTTAAAACCTATCTATTTTTTTGATTATAATATATATTCAAACTTAATAATTACTAATAATGAATTAAATTTAATAATAAAATAAAAAAATCATATTATAGATATCTTAATGTAGTGTTCAAACATGCCGATAGAATACGTTCGCGTTGTTTTGATTTGACACATGACACATTGCATTGGCCCCGTTTTAACGCGCATTTATGTTCGCGGTTCTCGTGCAGTTGCGTGCAGTTGCGCTTCAACCAACATGGCGAACGTGCGGGACAGCGATACCTCACTCTGGCTACATAACAAACTCGGAACTTCCAACGATTCTTGGACTGGAGGTTCGATATGCGGTCAATTAAACGCTGAGGTTTTACGAAACATCAAGGACTGCTTTCCTGACCTTCAAACGCAAGTTAAACTAAAATTGCTACTTAGTTTCTTCCACATACCTCGTAGAAACATCGAGGAGGTGCGTGTTTACCTTTTAAAAAGATTCGTTTTAATAATTGTAACTGATTCGGATAAATTTTTTTTAGTGGCGAGTTGAGTTGGATCAAATTATAGATGTTGCTATTGGTGATTCGGAATTATGGGTTTCTATGCTTGCCGAGTCTTTAAAAACTTTCCCAGCTACAGGATCTTTAAACACCGAATTAACCGATGTTGATGAAGTTCGACCCATATTCACCGATTTAGTTAATGAATTAAGGAAATTGGTTAAAAAGCAAGCTGATCATGTTATGCTACCGATGGAATGTCATTATTTAAATAAACCGGCGTTAGTTTCCGTTGTATGTATATTGGATTTTCTATTGCGGTTGGATTAAAACTTAAAATTGATTTTTTTAAGGTTGGTCAACAGCCTGCTCCTATAAAGCATTTTACTATAAAAAAGAAACCAAAATCGGCAATTTTACGCAGCGACTTATTACAAAAATCTCACGATGTTGCTTCTAACCTTAAAAAAGCTTCTGCGCCAGTTATACCTGTTAGGTCGCGAGGGATGCCACGAAAAATGACCGATACCAGTAACAAATCCTTGTTAAATCAATATCTAATTAATAACTTTAAAAAAATATTTTTAGCTCCATTGAAAGGTATCCCAAGTCGAGTTCCAACATCTGGTTTTAGATCTAACGCTTTAACAAACACCTTAACGAATCGACCACCACTTTCAAGACCTGCAGCAGGTCGTAAGGAAGGTGGTGTTAAGTTACTGGATATTTCAGATCAACCACTCGGATTTATGGCTGCTAAAAAAAGAAAGAAGATGCAAGGTATGAATGTTTTGAATTTAATATTTGAAAGTTAGTAAATTTGGTTTTTTGTTGTAGAAATGGAAGAGAAAAAGGCTGTGGAAACCACAGGTCTTCAAAATTCACCTCCACCTGCAGTTCCCGCACCGGATTATGCAGCTGGATTAGCATCCGCTACAACTTATGCCCCACCAACACCGCAACCCGCCGTTTCAAGAAGTACGAGCGTTCTATTAAATAGATTAAATACTTTATATACATTTATACACCCTATTAATATTTTTAGCACCCACATCTCCATCTACAGCAACAGTCTCAACCACAGTAATTTCCCAAACTACACAACAACCATCATCGGTTGTCGCAGCTCCAGCTTCAATCGTAACGGTTATTCAAACAACAACGACAGCTCCTCAATACATAACAACATCCATCATACGACCAGTACCGCCTTTATTAACCACGACAAACGTTACTCAACGAACTGCGATTGTTGCAGAACAACCAGCGACTGCCGTGCCTGTTGGAACACCTCTGGTGATATCAACGCGTCCCGTCCAACATGTGACGCAGGTTAGAATACAACCGCCAGCTGCTAACACATCGTTACAACGACGCGGATTAGCATTGACTCGCGAACAAATGTTGGAAGCGCAGGAAATGTTTAGAGCGGCTAATAAAGTGACGAGACCTGAGAAGGCCCTTATTCTTGGATTTATGGCGGGATCAAGAGATAATCCTTGCCCGCATTTGGGTAATATAGTGACGATAAAGTTATCTGAGGATCAGGAAAATGTGCAACAACCCGATGATACTTATTTGACGATGATGGTTGAGACACATTTCCAAATGAATTATAACAACGGCGAGTGGAAACGCATTAGGAAATACAGACATATTGAAAAAAGTGTCGAACCGATACAACAGAATGCGCAAGCCGCCGCACTCGTTTGATAAATGTAGATCTCTTTTTGTTCGTTTCGAATTAGAAATTTTTTAAGTTTGAGATAAGTTGAAATGTACAAATTTTTTTAATAAGAGTTTAAATATATTGAAACGTTTCTTTTTAAAATTAATCTTGATTTTAAGACGATATTGAATTGTATTTATTTACAAACAAATTTTAGTTTAACACAATTAGTTTTATTTAGAAATTTTCACATTATTTTGATTGTGTATATATAGTGATATACACTAATAATTTATTCACGTTTTTGCTAGTTGCTAACTGATCATTTTGTGCAAATAATTGTATATATTGTTAAGCATTAAAAGTTGTATTATTTTCTAAATGGTTGTTTTATTTGTTAGGATATTCAAATATAAATAATAACCATTTTTTTTATAAAATGGTGTTTATTTGATAATTATGATTACACTATAAAAGATTTTAAGCACTTATATGATATTGATATATCACAAATAACCCAAAACTATGTACAACATAAAATACGACTGAAACATAAAACTTAAATGCGTCTATCTTGATTAGAGTGCTTTTATAAATTAAAAAATAATCTAGAATGTCTAAATAAATTCACATTTTTACAGGTAATTAATTTTTTAAGATATACATAGGGTGAGTCAGGATCAAAAATTTTTAATTTACTAATTTTTATGATAATCATCTCAGCGAGACCGGTCATTAGACGTTTCTGGGGTTCTGGCGAAAATAAAAATTTGAGAATTCAGACTTAAGTATTATCAATTACGATCTCTTCGTCTAAAATATTTTCAGATTTCTTGCACTTCCGGTTATACCGGAAGTCGCCACCAACTTTATTTTTTTAAATGGAACACCCTGTATATTTTTACATATTTGGATTTGTCTGTTTTCAAGGTTTATAAATAACTTTACTTTTTGCAATTTGATTCGGTCGTTCTCGAGTTATTCGAATTTTTCTAGAAAAATCTGCTCCAGCAGACATTTGTTCAAAAAATCAGAAAACACTCAATTTTTGGGATATCAATTTAGGATTGAGAACATGCTTAAGCAACATGATGGAGTATGTTTTGGTGCCGAGAACTGCGGTCTAGAACGTTTGATCACTTTACTATGGCACGTTAACTTTTCAAAATTTGGAAGTACCATAACTTCATTTTTTTAAATGGCACCCCCCATATTTTATTTTTTAGTCGTCTTCGGTGTCTCATTCTACATCTTTTATATCCCATATGGCCCATACCTAATATTAATAGTTTGGGAGATAATTAGGGTTTTTTGAAAAATGCACACATATCATATGGATATTTAGCCTAGTGTGCCATGAAAAACAAGCCTTCTCAATGAGTTCTTGTCAAAGACTCACTTGTTTACGTCACTTGATGCATGTGAGCTAATAATTATCTGTTATGTCCCTTAATATTAGTACTGAAACGAGTTAAAATCGATAACAATAACGAAAGTAATATTTACACAAATCAAGAAATTCTTAATTTATTTTTTTTGCATGAAAAGCGCGACAAAGTTCGTAGTATGATTCCCAGATCTTCTTTGGCAGCTCGAATTGAGGTGTTGGGACTGGGCTCGAAATAAGCCAAGGTATTCACCTCTTCCGTTGCATTATCTACTACATTTTTTGGTCAGTTTAACACGTGATTAATTCGTCCAAAATGCAAAAAATTTGCTTCTATTCCTCTAAATTTACCTTTTGTCATCGGAGATAAATGTGGATAATTTTCATTAAACATTCTGCAAGTTCTACTAAGAACTTTGTCGCACTTTTCGTGCACAAAAAATAAATTATGGATTTCTTCATTTGTATAAACATTATTTACGTTATTAATATCCATTTTAACTGGTTTTAGACTCACAAGCATCAAACAACCTAAATCAGACTTTGACGTTTATCAATAAGTCATTAAACATTTGTTTTCCATGGCACACTAGGTTAATATCGATATGATATGTGAGCATTTTTCAAAAAACCCTAATTATTTCTCAAACTATTAATGTTAGGCATAGGACATATGGAATATAAAAGATGTAAAATGAGACGCCGAAGACGACTAAGTAATAAAATATGGGGGGTGCCATTTAAAAAAATGAAGTTATGGTGCTTCCAAATTTCGAAAAGTTAACGTGTCATAGTAAAGTGACCAAACGATCTAGACAGCCGTTCTTGGCACCAAAACATACTCCATCATGTTGTTTAAGCATGTTCTGAATCCTAAATTGATATCTCAAAAATCGAGTGTTCTATGATTTTTTGAACAAATGTCCGCTGGAGCAGATTTTTCTAGAAAAATTCGATTAACTCGAGAACGGCCGAATCAAATTGCAAAAAGTAAAGTTATTCATAAACCTTGAAAACAGACAAATCCAAATATGTAAAAATATATAGGGTGATCCATTTAAAAAAATAAAGTAGGTGGCGACTTCCGGTATAACCAGAAGTGCTAGAAAACTGAAAATATTTTAGACGAAGAGAACGTAATTGATAATACTTAAGTTTGAATTCTCAATTTTTTATTTTGGCCAAAACCACAGAAACGTCTAATGACCGGTCTCACTGAGACACCCTGTATATCAAAAAATAACATTGTGATTAAGGAGATGCTAATAATTCCGGTTCTGATCTCACCTTCTATATATCATTTATATTAAATCCTCAACTTATACTTACCATAATAAACAAAAAAATAAATTAATGTTAACCTACCTTAAATTTACCTTCTTATACACGTAAAATCTCTAGAGATTTATTATAACAAATTGCGATCCAATCGGGCTGCGTCGCCCCCCATTGAATCTGATTAACTTCACCTTCGGCGGCGGTATATGCCAAAATGGGATCTTCAATAGCTCTAGGCATCTGTTGTATATCCCAAATTAACGCTTGGTGATCATCGCCAGCTGTACAAATATGACATGATGAATGTGGAGCCCAAGCAATCCCATTAACACACGCCCTATGGTTATTAAGCCTTGCAACTGGCGTACAAGGTACTCTTACATCTAATATGATTACTTCGCAAGCATCCATCGCAATCGTCGCTAAATAATTTGGGTCTTGTTTATTCCAGGCAAGTCGTAATAATGGTGTATGCGCAGGGTCCTCGTAAATTATTGTTGAATGTTCTAAGTGGCGTAAATCAAACATTCTAACTGAACCGTCCGCCCCAACTGAAGCGAACATATCCCTTCCACCTCCAGCGCGAGAGAAAGCTATGTCATAAACTTCTTTATCATGTGCTATTAATTGGGTTTTTACATGACCGGAAACTAAGTTTACCCGGCCCAAAATTTGTCCAGTTTCCAAACCCCAAATAGTGCAAGTTGTGTCTATCGAGGAAGTCCCTACTAAGTTTGGGTCAACTTCGTTCCAATCAAAACTTGTTAATGGAGCACAAAAATCGGAATTTTTGTTATTGTTTAAGACACATTCTAAACGTGTATCTGGTTCTCCAGCTCTCCATACTCTTAAATAATCTCCGCTAAAAAGAAATATTACACACTTATTTTTGGCTCACTTTTAATTTCCTACCTTGTGGCTAATAAATCAGGAAAAACTCCTTTACTATCCGGTATCCACATAATTTTTGTTGTGGGATATGGATGTTCAAAAGTACTCTTTGGTGTAAACTCACTACTATCTTCATCTAAAGAGACAATTTGAACTTTGTTGTTATATTCTTCGACAAAACTTCCCAAAGCCAATCTGAATCTTTTATCAGGTCTCACCGACCAATTCATACTGTAAAGGGGCCATGGGGCTACATACTTGTAAATTTCTTTTCGTTTAACAGCCGGACCCACCGATGAATGGGCCATTTTAGCTGAATTACGAATATGCTCCAGTCTGTTTTTAAAAGGGGTAAAGGATTTTTGTCCTTTACGAAGGGTAAACACTTTAATTTATTTCTACTTGTTCATACTTTCGGTGGTGATCTTATTAACGTTACAAAGAATCATAAGTTTATAATAATAATATTTACGTAGAATTGAAAAATGTACATACTCGAGATTGTAAGCGGTAAGTAAAAAAAATTATGCTAACAAACTAAAATGCATTCTTACTAAAGTTGGGCTTTTTAAAAATAGATGGCGCTAAAAATTCAATAAAATTTTCATTGAAATTATTATTTTTATTTTATAATTTTGCATAATATGTAATTAAAAACATTTTATTTGCGAGAATTTATTATTTTGACAAATATATTTCAAGTATTTTTAATAAATCAAATGAATTTTTGACGTTTATCATTTTTGAGGTTACAAAATGAGGTTATGTTTTCGCCGATCATTCACTAAGAAAATTATGATTAAACCTTTACGAAGATATTCCACGTTGATTCCAAGCTATTATATAACGACTCCTATTTACTATGTGAACGCATGTAAGCATTAATTTAGTTAAAAAATTGTAAATTTCATCATATAATTCCAGCGCCACATATCGGCCATTTATATAGTTCCGTTATAGCGGATGCGATTCAAAGATTTCAAAAATTAATTCATCCGGAAGAAAATGTTATTTTTTCAACAGGAACTGATGAACATGGAACTAAAATTCAGCAATCAGCCACTAAGCATAATCAGCCTCTAAACGAATATTGTTTAAACGTTTCTAATAGTTATAAAGAGATGTTTCAATGTTTTAGTGTTGATTATACTCGATTTATAAGAACTACCGAAGCTAAATATAAAGAGGCTGTGCATAAATTTTGGGTAAACTTATTTGATATAAGAATTGTAGTTTGCAATTGCTGTTTAATTGATGCTATTTAAGGAAACTATAGATAAAAATGGTTGTGTTTACTCAGCAAATTATTCCGGGTGGTATTGCATAGCTGATGAAACATTTTTAAGCGATTTAGAAGTAACCGACCAAATATTAAGTAATGGACAAAAAATAAAAGTTTCTAAAGAAAGTGGACATCCAGTTGAATGGACAGAAGAACAAAATTATATGTTTAAATTATCGAATTTTCAAGATAATTTAAAGAATTGGTTATTACGAAACGGTACTAAACTCATTTATTTGAAATTTATATTACATTTTAAGTTTTAGAGAACGCAGTTCAACCAAAAAAGTTTCATAAAATCTTATTAAATTGGATAACAAAAGATGAAATGCGAGATGTATCCATTTCAAGACCAATTTCTAGAGTACATTGGGGTATTAAAGTACCAGGCGATAGTACGCAAACAATTTACGTTTGGATGGATGCTTTAATTAATTATTTGAGTGTTGTTGGATATCCAAATGAGTTAAATTGTTGGCCACCTAATGTTCAAGTTATCGGCAAAGATATATTAAAGTAATCAATAAATATTATTCCATGAACATTTTAGTAATTTACTTTAATTAGATTTCATGGAATATATTGGCCAGCTTTTTTAATGGCAGCAAGTTTAAAGTTACCAAAAACGATTCTTTGCCATTCCCATTGGACCGTTGATGGTGAAAAGATGTCAAAATCTAAAAGTAATGTTATTTCCCCAATAAAATTAAGTAACACATACACAAATGAAGGGATTCGTTACTTTTTACTTCGAGAAGGAATTACTCATCGCGATGGAAGTAACTTTAATTAAATAAAATTTGTTGCCCCCTTAAATTAATTAAAATATTTTCTTCAGATTATAGTGAAGTAAAATTGATGAGAATTTTAAACTCGGAATTAGCAGATACATTCGGAAATTTATTAAGTAGATGTTGTGGAAACGCTTTAAACCCAATTCAAACAATTCCACCATTAAATAAAACCGCCTTTAATGAAATAACAAAAATTGAAGCTGGAAAGAAACTAATAGAATTAGTTGAATCGTTAGAAAACGTTTGTTTCAAACATTACGAAAATTACAACTTTTATAAAGTTGTTGATTCGGTTATAAACACTTTACACGCTGCGAATTTATTCGTTGAAACGATGAAACCATGGGAGTTAAGGAAAAAAATTGAATTAATACCGCAATTAGAAATTACGTTACATTTAACGTTTGAAACGTTGAGAGTTTCCGGAATTATTTTACAGCCGATTATTCCTCAATTGTCTAAACAATTGTTGGATAAATTAAATGTCGATCCAAATAAAAGATTTTGGAACGATTTAAAGAGAATGTCTTGGAACGTTGACGAAACTAAGGAAATTGTGGAATTATCAAAAGAAAAAACAATTTTGTTTAAACGGATTCTAACCGAAAGAGAGGATAAAGAAAAAAAAAAAGAGAAAAATAAATTGAAATAAATTTATGTAAATGTAGTTAAAAAATTAAATTACTATTTACTGAAAATGTATTATTATGTATACAGGGTGTCTCAGCGAGACCGGTCATTAGACGTTTCTGTGGTTCTGGCCAAAATAAAAAATTGAGAATTCAGACTTAAGCACTTCCGGTTATACCGGAAGTCGCCACCTACTTTATTTTTTTAAACGGAACACCCCGTATATTTTTACATATTTGGATTAGTCTGTTTTGAAGGTTTATAAATAACTTTACTTTTTGCAATTTGATTCGGCCGTTCTCGAGTTATTCGTTTTTTTCTAGAAAAATCTGCTCCAGCGGACATTTGTTCAAAAAATCATAGAACACTCGATTTTTGAGATATCAATTTAGGATTCAGAACATGCTTAAACAACATGATGGAGTATGTTTTGNGAAAATTACAACTTTTATAAAGTTGTTGATTCGGTTATAAACACTTTACACGCTGCGAATTTATTCGTTGAAACGATGAAACCATGGGAGTTAAGGAAAAAAATTGAATTAATACCGCAATTAGAAATTACGTTACATTTAACGTTTGAAACGTTGAGAGTTTCCGGAATTATTTTACAGCCGATTATTCCTCAATTGTCTAAACAATTGTTGGATAAATTAAATGTCGATCCAAATAAAAGATTTTGGAACGATTTAAAGAGAATGTCTTGGAACGTTGACGAAACTAAGGAAATTGTGGAATTATCAAAAGAAAAAACAATTTTGTTTAAACGGATTCTAACCGAAAGAGAGGATAAAGAAAAAAAAAAGAGAAAAATAAATTGAAATAAATTTATGTAAATGTTTTTAAAAAAAAAATTACTATTTACTGAAAATGTATTATTATGTATACAGGGTGTCTCAGCGAGACCGGTCATTAGACGTTTCTGTGGTTCTGGCCAAAATAAAAAATTGAGAATTCAGACTTAAGCACTTCCGGTTATACCGGAAGTCGCCACCTACTTTATTTTTTTAAACGGAACACCCCGTATATTTTTACATATTTGGATTAGTCTGTTTTGAAGGTTTATAAATAACTTTACTTTTTGCAATTTGATTCGGCCGTTCTCGAGTTATTCGTTTTTTTCTAGAAAAATCTGCTCCAGCGGACATTTGTTCAAAAAATCATAGAACACTCGATTTTTGAGATATCAATTTAGGATTCAGAACNAATTTGGGGAATATGTTTAACTCATAATAGGGCACGTTTTGACCCTATTTGTACTTTCAACCTACCCTTCTAAACTACTAAACGTAACCACCCCTTTGCATTTTTGCGAAAATTTTTTTTATGCCGATGATAAATACATTAGAAAAATTTTACATAGATAGATGAAAGTATTCTAAAACTTTTTGGTCTCTCTACAATTTTTCCAAAAACGACTAATTTTTGAGAAAAAAAATAGTAAAGCAAACACTGCTCGTTAAACAACGGGGTTGTCGATCAAAAGTTGGAATGAATTTTGAATGAAAAAATCTTAGTAGGCTTTGCAATCTTTGTCAGAAATATTTTTGACGTTTAAATGTCAGTTTTTTTNTGAGATATCAATTTAGGATTCAGAACATGCTTAAGCAACATGATGAAGTATGTTTTCGTGCCGAGAACGGCTATCTAGATCGTTTCGTCACTCTACTATGACACGTTAACTTTTCGAAATTTGGAAGCACCGTAACTTCATTTTTTTTAATGGCACCCCCCATATTTTATTGCTTAGTCGTATTCGGCGCCTCATTTTACATCTTTTATATCCCATATGTCCTACGCCTAACATTAATAGTTTGAGAAATAATTAGGGTTTTTTGAAAAATGCTCACATATCATATCGATATTAACCTAGTGTTCCATGGAAAACAAATGTTTAATGACTTATTGACAAACGTCAAAGTCTGATTTACGTTGTTTGATGCTTGTGAGTCTAAAACCAGTTAAAATGGATATTAATAACGTAAATAATGTTTATACAAATAAAGAAATCCATAATTTATTTTTTGTGCACGAAAAGTGCGACAAAGTTCTTAGTAGAACTTGCAGAATGTTTAATGAAAA